CCCCCACCTACCCCCCGCATTCTCATGTTCTGGTTTGTTAGACTCAATCCAGCGAATAAGGAACTCAGCGAAAATTACACTTGACTTCATCTGTGAGAGACAAAGTAAGATCACTACTAACCAAGGCAAAATACCGGATACCGTTAAAGACACAACGGACGTTGTGTACCAGGTTCACTGCCTTTCTTGCAACCGGTGATACAGTAGCTAAACACCATGGTCATTGCGGGTCAGAACTGTTGACCACAAGCGAGGTAACAAACGAGAAATCGAGGACTAAGAGGCCATCCTAAAGCTGGAAATACTTTGTCTTAGCCCATCACCATATTACGATAGTGCAATAGATCGACTGTGCGAGAGAGGATGCACTGCGATGGCACCGAACATCTTCGAAACGGTTTTTCTGAACGCTTTTGTGATTCAGATCACAGGCAGAGTCAAATCCATTCCTAACAGATGTGGGTGCAAAGGGACCGTTTCTTTGGTGCATGCAATGTCGAAAGTGGTGAATGCAATGCAGCATATGATCAAAACCATGTTTGTTGACCATAAATAATATCGGCAAACCATCTGACTGCTGACATTTACTTATAAAAGTAAAGAAATCGATGAGTTTCGTCAATTGGCTGATAAAGGCTGGAAACCCTAGCCGAAACCTGATCCTCTCGATTCGTAAAGTTATTGTTCCACCATCGCTAACGACTTTATTTCGTACAACGAAACCAGACTGATCTCAAATAACTAACCATGGAACTCAGTCACGACTACCTCCCCCTCCCCCGCACATGTCCCCTGCACCGCCTTGTCCCCTTTGAGAACTCACCAAGTTGTTGACTAAACTCATTGAATGACTACTGGATAACACGTTGGCGTCATTCACGAGACGGTTTACTGGAGAAATGACTGCGGCGCTGATCTTTGTTACGAAGAAATCACTCAGGATATTCTGAACAAAGTGCACAACTAGGTGTTCCTTTGCAACTAACAGTAGTCAGATAACAGAGGTAAAAACGAAATAATCGAAAAATTAAAACCACAACAGTACCAGTCGTGCGTAAATACTTCAAGCAAAGCTTGTCCATAGCTGATTATCGATTTATCGAATTTATAATTAGCATTACATTATTATTTGTAATTATTAATACATTTGCAGGTTTCTTTTCAAGCGAATAGCAGCATGAAAAAAAAATGCTGCGTTATTATGTTTCACGAACGAGAA